GATCATCCTGCCTCAGCCTCCCGAGTGCTGGGATTACAGGTGTGCGCCACCACACCTGGTTTAGACAGGGAAATTCTAAATTTTGGGAATTACTTTCTACTAAGCCACACTGCTTAGGAGTTAGAGAGTGGCTCACTTAATTCTAATCCCAAATGTTCCTCCATCCTCATCCTGGCCTGAATGAGCCTTGGCACTACTTTCCACCCAACTCACCAAGCAAGCATCTCTTTGTGGTTTGCTTTCCCCCTTGGGTCAGGGAGAGAACATATGGGTTCAGCGTGGTTTTTAGTGTAGCTCTTGTTTACAGTTTTCTTGTGGAACTGAACAATCTTGTGAAACTAAAATCCATTGCACAATTTTTTCTGATGCGCAGATAAAATCCAGTTTGGGCCTATGAGTTGGGAGTTGGAGCCAGTGTGGCCTGGACAACAGCGCTGCCGCCACCTCCTGAAACCCTCTCAGAGCGGCCATCTGGCCCTTCTGGATGCCTCTGTTACCTCTGCTCATTCCAAGGAGGAGAAACTTTGGAATGCAGCTTACAGGAAGCCTTGGGCTTGGGAAAGCTAAAAGAAGCCCTTTATTTTTATTTTTACTTTTTTTTAAAACCAGGACATAAATTTTATGTTTTTTTCTAACGTTTAAATAGAAGTTAAGTTTTCAAAACAAACTGTCTGTCCAACAGGAATTAAAGAAAAAGTAGGTCCACATTATGTAATAGAAATACAATGCCCTGGGGTAAAGATTATATAACAATACTAGTGTTTTTTTTATTCTTTTCTGAACACTGTATTACAAAATATTACAATTTCTCATTTTTATATAGTACACTGAAGTGCTTCCCACAGTGCTACGTTTTGGAAAGTGTAGGGCAAGAAGCAATCTCAAGTATTAAAAACAAAACAAAGCAGCTTTTGTGTCCTTGCTGCCTGTGGTAGAATGGCCTGTTGGTGGTGGTGGTGAGGGCCCGGAAGTGGCAGCACCGGAGAGTTCTGAGTAGGAGAAAGCAAAGAATGTGAGACTTGGATATCTGGAAGCTTCTGGGCTTCTTCCTGAAGAAAGAAAGAGTACTATATTTCTGTCACACAGTTATGGACTTGCCTTTCTTTAAAAGGAATCCTTTTTAAAAATTAGCTCAAGGTAGGTTGTTTAGGCTGGCCCTGAACTCAAAGTCATCTTGCTGGGATTACAGATGTGCACCAGGCAAGATGTAAACAGGGTTAGATGAGAAGCTACCAGTTTAGCTGATACATATATTATCTTTTAACTTTAAAGGCTTTTTGCCAATTGGATTAAATACGTTTGTACTAAGACTTGTTTGGCTATTACCTCAAGTTGAAACATTACATAGTGACAATTGTTTGAGTTTGGTTCTTTGTCTGTGAAGAATTTTGTAGACATTTTATTGGCTTTCTTGAGACAGGGTCTTACTGTGTAGTTCAAGCTGCCCTTGGACTCACTATGTGGCCCAAGCTGGCCTTGAACTCACCACAATCCTACCTCAGCTTCCTGAGTGCTGGGATTACAGGGGTACATCAACATGCCCAGCTTTTTGTGGCTATTTTAAAAGTATTGTGTTTTCATTACTGATCAACCATTTCAGAAATGATTATCTAGACATGATACTTTACACAGATGACCCCAAAAACTCCACCAAAAGACTCCTAGAAGTAATAACCAAATTCAGTTGCACAGCTGGATACAAAGTCAACACTCAAAAATCAATAGCATTCCTATATGAAAACAATGAACTCACTGAGAGAGAAATTAGGGAAAGTATACCCTTCACAATAGCATCCAAAAAACCGAAATACTTAAGAATCAATTTAACAAAGGAAGTGAAGGATCTATTTATTGAAAATTATAGTACTAAAAACAAAAAGAAAAGAAAATTATAGTACTCTGAAAAAGGAGATCAAAGAAGATATCAGAAAATGGAAAGATATCCCTTGCTCATGGGTAGGAAGAACCAACATTGTGAAAATGGCCATATTCCTAAAACTGTGAAATAGATTTAATGCAATCCCAATCCAAATGCCATTAGCACACCTCACAGAACTAGAGAAAACACTCCTAAAATTCACCTGGGAGCAGAAGAGACCTAGAATAGCAAAAGCAATCTTGGATAACAAAGGCAAGGCAGGAGGCATGACAATCCCTGATTTGAAATTATACTACAAAGCTATTGTGATAAAATCAGCGTGGTATTGGCAAAAAACACAGACCTGAGGACGAGTGGAACAGATTAGAAGATGCAGACACAGCTACAACCACACTCTGCCACCTTATCTTTTTTTTTTTTTTGGTACTAGTAGTCAAACTCAGGGCTTTGCACTTGCCAGGCAGGCACAGTGCCACTGAGCTATATCCCTGGCCATCAGCCACCTTATCTTTGACAAAGGGGCCAAACATATTCCCTGGAAGAAAGACAGCCTCTTTAATAAATGGTGCTGGAAAAACTGGCTGTCTACATGCTGAAGACTAAAACTAGACCTTTGTCTACCACTATGCACTAAACTAAAGTCAAAATGGATCAAAGATCTGAATATTAAAACAAAACCACTAAATTTACTGGAAGAGAAAGTAGAAATCTTGTAGACATAGTGGTAGGCAGAGTGTTCATGAAGAAAACCCAAACTGCACAGGAAACACTTCAAAGAATCAGCAGTGGGGACCTCATCTTTTAAAAAGCTTTTGCACATAGAAAGAAATTACCAACAGAGTGAAAAGACAACCCACAGAGTGGGAAAAAATTTTTAGCCAACTGTCCCTCAGACAAAGGACTTCTATCTAGAACATGCAAAGAATTGAAACAAACAAACAAAAAAAAGAATTGAAACAAATCAGACCCCCCAAATTCAAAGACCCAATCCAAAAATGGGCATCGGAAGTGAACACCCACTTCTCAGATGAAGAAATACAAATGGCAAATAAATACATGAAAAAAATGTTCAACATCATTGGTCATTCAAGAGATGCAAATAAAACCAGCACTGAGATTCCATCTCACCCCAGTAAGAATGGCTATTATCAAAAAATCAACAAATAACATGCTGGAGGGACTGTGTGGAAAAAAGGAACCCTTCTCCTCTGTTGGTGGGTGTGTAAAGTGGTGCAACTACTGTGGAAATCAGTGTGGAGAAACCTCACAAAATTAGGGTTAGAGGTCCCATTCAACCCAGCGATTCCCCTTCTGGATATTTTTCCAGAAGAATTAATAATATCATACCACAGTGATATATGTGCACCCATGTTTATAGCAGCACAATTCATAGTAGCTAAATCCTGGAAACAGCCCAAATGCCAGTCAACTGAGGAATGGACCAAAAAGGATGTGGTATTTTTATACAATGGAGCTATTAAGAAGGATAAATTTGAGACATTTGTAGGGAAATGGATTTAACTTGAGACCATACATAAGTGAGATAAATCAGACTCGCATGTGTAAACATTGTATTGTCTCCCTAGTGTAATAGTAAGATCCAAAATCTACAATAGATATTGTGAAATGGGAAGAAACTGTTCAAAAAGAAAGAGAAACTGGGATGAGGAAAGGAGAAAATAAGAAAGGGAAATGGATAAATAAATAACTAAACACAAGAGAGTTAAGATAGTTGTAATACTAATTGCTATTAGTTCATTGAAAAGAAAGGTTTGTATCTATATTGTTGATCAGTTTTTCATGCATATATTTTCTAATATGAGCAACTACTTTGAAGATAACAATCCGCAATATACTAACCATTGTTACTCTCCTACAATCTTGTTCTCAAATTTTGTACCATTGTTTTTATAGTTTTTTTCTTTAAAAAAATGATAATCACTCTAGAAGAAACACACAACCACATAACACACACATTCTTTCTTTCTTTCTTTCTTTCTTTCTCTTTCTTTCTTTCTTTCTTTCTCTTTTTTAATAGTGCTGGGGATGGGACCAAGGGCCTTGCACAAAGTAAGTATTGTACCACTGAGCTATATCCCCAGCCCTCACACATTTATCAGTGTTTTCCATCTCATATCTCACTCCTGGTATCAAGTTCTTTCATGAATCTCTGGCATTGTCCAGAACTCCTCACTGTGATGTTTCCCCTACACAGAAACTTCCAAGAACATAGATGTTGAGTCTAATAGATCTCAGTTCAAATGTTAAAATATTGACTGTCATTTACTGGCTATATGGGGATACTGGAGATTCCTAATGCTCCATTCCACACTGTAAAACAAGGATATACCGTCAGTTAGGGCACAATATCAGGAGTAGATACATAGATAGCCAATCCTGCGGCTTGCCTGGGCCACATGGAGTGAAGAGGAATTGTCCTGGGCCACATGTAAAGTACATAACATAGTTGATGTACATAAGCAGCACAACATTTTTAAGTATTTCAATTCATTATTATGAAATAAGCCCATTTAAGTTTAGTAATTAGGTAATAAAACTTACACGTCTTCTTCATACCAATAACTGTCTGTTTTCACAGGCACACATACGTAGGTGGATTTAAATTCTATTATTGGCAGCTGCCAAGAGTGTGAGGGTGATCTGGCTACGACATGCTTCACCTCACTGATCGCCAGGGTTGATTCAGCTCATCTGGCTGGCTAGGCAGATGTGCCCTTTCTGCCTCACTGCCGCGTGCTTCCCAGTTAAAGAAGACGACCTTCCAGGTAGAGGGTGACCCTTCCCTCAGTCAAGGGTGTGTGGCTGGCTGAGCTCCCCTGCTAGACCCTGCAGACAAGCTCTCAAGGTCATAGCCAGGTTCTGCTTGCCAAGTCCAAGTGCAAGGCGCATGAGCTGCCCCTGGGTTTCAAGTGGACCCTGTGGGGCCGGTGAGGGAGGTGGGGTCAGCACTGCCCCGTGCCCATTCCATGGTGACCTGTGCAGCCCATGCTTGAGTACTGCACAATCAAGTTACAAAAAAAATCACTAAAGCTTACCTAATAATGTTAAGTTTATGATGTGGTGGGGCCACATTACTAACTGTCAAGGGCTGTGTGTGATAATGTAAATAAAATGCTTTGCCCAGTTACCTGGCACTTAGCACTTTATATGCGCTAGATATTATTTCTTTTCATCTCCCAGGGGTATTGATTCTGTTTCTGAAATCACATTAAGTTGATTTGACTACAAGAACAATTAAGTGTGTCACTACTTCAGGGTTTCACTGATAGTGCCTAAATTCCATTCTAGAAAGGAAGAAAAAATAGGGGGAAGAAGACGAACGTTAAAGAAATGTAACTCAATGGGCAAATCCTACACAGCGTGATGAAACCCGAAGGTGTTACGTCACTGGGTAGCTGTTACCTTGTGTTTACACTACGGCTGGCACTGTGTTCCACAAGCGGGACGAGACGTGATCTGGAGCAGCATTTGGAGTCCCAGCAAGTTAGCACTGTGCGTTGTCTCTCCCAGGGCTAGGCTGGCTTCACTCGCTCTTCATTTTTCTAGAGTCACGGGAGTGGGGGGAGGGGGCAAGACCGAGGATGACAAAGAAGGGTCCAGTGTTTCCTGCCCTGTAGCCATCTCCCGGGACTTGCAGTGCAGATCCCTTGGGTCTCATCCTGAGCTCCCAAGGCTTCCTGTCCGCCCCATACACTCCCCGCAAGCTTTGGTCCTCGCTTGTCTCAGAGCCGTGTGGCTCAGCTAGAATGCAAGGCTGACTGCTCCACGCTCAGAGTGCAGCCGCGCTATTCCCCCCGGGCAGGCCCTCGAAATCCTCTAGGGTTCTGTAGCTCCGGTCCTGGTACAGTAGTTAGAGGCTGTTATGACTTATGTCTAGATGTCCTCCTGAAGCTCCATGCTGTCAACGGGTGAGGCTTCTTCGGATCTAGAGCGTGTGATGCTGGAACTGATTCATGGAGCAATGCGAGGTCAAGGGCGCAAAGCTGACGGGTGAGCTCTGCCCTCCCTGTGTAGTCTGGGTAAGATAAAAGGAGCTGAAAGGCGTTAAGGACACTTATTTGGTTGCTCTCGCCTCTCTGCTCACCAGGAACCAGTCCTCCTCTGTGATGCCCTCTGCCGTGTGCCGCCCTGACTTGGAGCCAGATGATTACGAGCTGAAACCTCGACAGACTGTGCACTAAATAAACCTTTCCTCCCTTAACTTTGGGTGTTGGGTATTTTGTCTCAGCCATGAGAAAAGTAACTAAGACAGAGGGTGAGCAGGGAGCGGTTTGAATCACTGACTGGAAAAATGGAAAACAAAACAAACTGCTGAACTTGTTGATTCAACACTTCCTTCTGCACACTTCCTTCCTTTGACTTCCCAGAAATAATTCTTCAAAAATTTGTTTTGCTTACGGAATTTTCAAACATGCTGACATAGAAAGAAAAGTAATTAACCCCTGAGTACCCATCACATGCAATTTCAACAGTCATCAACATTTTGTCTATTTTACGTCGTCTCTGCTAGGAAAGAGGAAAAGAAACAGAAGTATGAGCTCACAGGGCAGGTTCATTTCAGAGCACACCCAGAGGGGCTGTCCTGGCCCCAGAGAAGGGCCTCTCTGCACAGGCTATAAGGTCTTCTGTCGGTCCTGGGCAAAGGCAGGGGTGCCGTGACAAGAAGTGGTAGTTATCAGCTAGGGACAGAGGTTGAGAACGCACAGGGAGTTCAGTCGCTTGTCAAGCACAGGGCTGAGGACGGATTGCAGCTGTGGTTTCTGGGCCTTATCAGCCCTTAATTACCTTTGTAGTAGGTTCAAGCGCAGCAGTGGGGGTGCGAGGAGATCACCTCCTGGGTGAAACTGGAATACTGCGGGTTAACTGTACCTGGGAAAATTGATGGGGCTAACTTCCCTAAGGAGATTGATGGTTCTGTGAGGTCATGTCAGTGGAGCGGAGCAGACTTGGACAGTTCTGCCAAAACGCTCTGTTGTGTAACCACGCCTGATAAGAGCTCGCCAACACAAGGTTGCCCTGCAGGATAAAAGTGATATAAACATGAAGGCAAGACCCTGTTCTCTGCTCTTGGGTGGACATTAGTCCCTGAGGGACATACAGCAATAAACCTGCCCCTTCTCCTACTGCATGTCTGAGCGGCTCTGGTCAGGATCCTGTGCGGTCTCCTGCTTCAGGGCCGAGGGTTAGTGTGGTCTCTGTTCAGCTCACAATGGTGCTGGTCAGAGGCCTTCAGTCTCTTCTTCTTATTTTATTATTTTTTGTTTATTTTTATTGAATTTTTTTGAGACTGAAAAATAAAATTTGGTTTCCTGTGCCAAATCTCCAACATCAGCACCAGAAAGGCAGAGAACCCACCAAAAATCAATCCATAATTAGCTTTAGAATATTCCAGTAATAGGCTGGGCATGATGGTACACATCTGTAATTCCAGCATTTGGGAGGCTGAAGCAAGAGGATCACTGTAAGTTTGAGGCTAACCTGGTCTACACAGTGAATTCAAGGCCAGTCCAAACTACACTGTGAGACACTATCTCAAAAAAAAAAAAACCAAAAAAACCCCCAAACAACAAAAAAAGAAGGTAAAAATGTTTCTTTCTACATGCAGACTAGAACATTAAAATAAGGCCTATGAGGGTGTCCTAGAGCCTTTATGCAAACATTAGAGAAGAACTGTTCATGACAGAGCCTTAAGATTGTGGTGGTTAATTTATTACTGACAATTTTCAAATATGAAACTTAATAAAAGCTCATAATAAGTATAATACACCTTACAGAGAAAGTTAGCTGAGTGTGGTGGCACCCAGCTACTCTGAAGGTTAAAGCAGGAGAATCATATGAAGACAACTTGGGCAACTTAGTGAGATAGTAACAAAAGGGCGGGCGGGGGGGGGAGGAGAGGGACAGAGACAGAGACAGAGACCTGTGCCCGTGTGCTGGTAATATAGCTCAGTGGTAGAGCACTAGCCTGGCATGTGTGAGGCCCTGGGTTCAGTCCCTACTAACACAAAAATATTTGTTGTTTTCTCTGCTTCCTGGGGGCCATGGGTTGAGCAGCTTTCCTTTGCCATGCCCTTCTTCCATGCCATCAGCCATGGCATTTCCACCTTGGAGCTGATGACCATGCATGGACTGAACTGTCTAAAACCATTCCACACATTAGGGAGAATGTGCGGTGTTTATCTTTCTGAGTCTGGTGTACTTTGTTCAACATCCAAACTGCCAGATCCATCCGTTTTCTTCCAAATGACAGAATTTTGCTCTTTTCAAGGCATATATATATATCTCACATTTTCTTTATCATCTTATAGGCATCTAGGCTGCTTCCACATCTTGCTTATTGTGTACTGTGCCACAATAAACATGGGTATGCAGGTATCTGAAAAACTGGTTGCTGCCAGGCAAAAAGGCCATTTCAAAAAAAGTTACAGATGAAATGTATCTAAGATAATGAAGCCTATTTTAATGAAGTCAATGGATATTACTCAAATTGACAGGCATGGTGGCACACTCCTCTATCCCAGCACTCTGAAGTCTGAGGCAGCAAGGCCAGCCTGGGGTACCTAGTGAGTTCAAAGCTAGCTTGACCTACATAGTGAGGCCCTATCTCAAAAAAAGGGAGAGAAAATAATTTTTCTGGAGGAGGAACCCAGAATGTCAATGAGCTGGCCTCTTCCCTAACACAATTGTAGGCTGGAAGAAGCACAGAACTTCCTGGCAAGAGAGATTCATAGGTTGGATGTGATTTCTGAGAGTACCGTCTCTAGATTTTATTGGTTCTGGAAGTTCCTTTTGTACCAGAGGTAGGTGGCGGTGGTCTTTTGAAATGTTCATATGTTATTAACAAAACTCCTGTGATGATCCAGAAGCTGCCAAAATCACTCAGGCAGAAATAATGACAGTTACAATAACTGTCTGAGTAGCCCATCAGATAGACCTGCAGCGGTGCAGGACCTGAGCAGGTACAAACTCAAATCAGAGGAGCCACTGCACGTGGAAAGGGGAGTGAAGGACGATAAGTGAAATAACTGACAGCGGTTAGAAGGGCTGGGCTCCATGGGTTTTGAGCAGGTTTGTCTGAATTGGTTTTACAAATGTGAGCTGTTGTGATTCTTAAGAAAAACTGAAGATGCCTATCTATGAACTCAAGATCGTTTTTGGCATGGGTGGTAACCAGTTGTTCTCCAGTTCCCTGAGAAAAGGACTTCAGCTGGAACCAGCTCTCAGGGAAGAGGCAGAGGGCGCAGGAGAAGGAATGATGGGCGGGAGTGAGCAGACGATGGGTCCATTCCTGTTTGCCACCTGCCACCTATGTCATAGGCAGCTCATCATCTCTAGGTCCCATTGGAAAATGGGAAAAAAATTCTGGATCTTTTGTCTGGTAGAGAAGTTGTGAGCATTACTTAGTGTGAAAATGAACTAAAAAGTAAAGTTATCTAGGTTCCTAGAAAGCATAAACAACACTTTTGTGTGAGTCACAGGAAAGGCCTCCTCCTCTGGATGAAGTCAACTCTCTGTCAGTCTGTTCAGTGCCCATTCGGTTTCTTTGCAAAGTAAAGGTGAGGTTTCTATATCTAGTTAACCCCTTTGCTGGCTAGTTCTGAGCAGAGCACAACCCAAAGAGCTGTTTCTGTAAAAAGGATCTCAGTATCTGACTGTAAGGAAGCAGTCGCCGTGGAGACCTTTCCTGAGTGTCTTTAATAGGCCAGGCCCTTTTGTGTTGGTGATCTGTGTAAACTAACACTGTGCCCTGCACACAGCTGAGCACTCTGGCCTCCTAATGGAGAACAGTGTTTAGGTATTGGTTCACCCCAAAAATATGCCTGGGCCAAGCACGGTGGCACCTGTTATCCAGTACATGGGGGGCTGAGGCAGGAGGATAGCGAGTTGGAGAGCGTCCAGGGCTCCACAGTGAGTTTGTGCTTCAGAATATACACCACCAAACACCGTGCCAGTCTTTGATTCCACCCCCTCTGTAGTTTTGTGTGTCTGTTGAGCGTGCAGGTATCAAGACCCTGGAGAGAAGGTGGCAGCTTCTTTGTGACCCACACAGTTTGGATTCTTTATGATAAAGACATTGTTCAGCATCTTTCCCTCCACTATTCCCATGTCCCTATTCAAGAAATGCATAGCTACAGAGCCCAGGGTGGAGCTGTATTCTTACATCTAGTTAACTGTCACTAGACAGGAGCACTGTAACCACACAGTGAAGGAAAAACTCCTGTGTGCTCAATGTTGCAAGACCCCTGTTCACAAAAGAGTCTTTTAGTCAAGGCTCTCATCGGTGTCACCAGGTCCAAACTTGCACAGCAAACATACTGTATTTCGTCTTTGAGGCAGGATCTTCCTACGTAGTTTAGGCTAGTTCTGAACTCACTATGCAACCCAGGCTGGCCTTGACCTCACCGTGATCCTCCTGCCTCTGCCTCCCAAGTGTTGGGATTATAGGTGTTTGCTATGATTCTTAAAAAAACAATTGATTCATGGTCCAATGCTGGGATTATGAAATGCAATTGCTAGGTTGTATGACAAGTGTAAATTTAGTATTTTAAGAATCTGCCAAATAATTTGCTGGAGAGACTACTGTAGCATTTTACATTTTCACCAGCAATATATCTTATGAGAGACCCAGTTGCTCTGTGTCCTTGTCAGCATTTGGCTTTATCACTATGTTTTATTTCTGCCACCCTGAGGGATGTGCGGTTGTATCTCACCATCCCAGGTCTCTAAAGTCCCCTCTCCAGTTCTGTCACTTCCGGTGCTCTACCCTAGAAACTGGTTGTCGTGCCCTCCTTGGACTTCTGGTTCCACTTCCTGACAAACTCCATCTAGATTCTTGTCTCCCTGCCATAGCCTGGCTGCTCTCTCCAGGGGATGAGCTGGTAAGAATCAAAGGACTCATCTCAATTGTTTCTCATTGGTGATCTCTGTCCATTAATTTACAATGCGAAGTAGCACTGACATTCAGAACTGAAGTCTTATGTACGTTGTCAGTTTTCTAATCAGGATATCTATTGTATCTCTATAACTAACTATTTATTGTGTGTTTTGCTAAGCTAGGAGTCAGGAGTCCTATTATCAGAACTGCCAATGCTCATGTGTAGCATGAGACATTAACCTCTTAGACTCATTTAAAAAAATTGTCAAATGAAGAGTCAGTGTACATGAGCCTTAATTCCTTCTGGGATATTCTAGATTATGTTTGACTATTGTAGGAGAAGCAGTGTGCAGTGTCAGTAGTGTGGTCTTTAGTATGTGTGCCCTATTTTTAATCAGGAGACTGACACTGATTGGGTGGGGAAGGCACATGTGTTGGTAATTGCTGGGTCAGAGCAAGAACAATAGCTAACATGCTAAGTTTGGAGCATTTGCATGATATTCAGGACAGCCCTGTGAGGTAAGTGCTACTATTATACAAAGTTAGAAGCTGAGAAAGCTGTAGCTTAGTAAAGGAAAACTCCAAAATGAAAATATGATTAGTCTAAAAGCTATGTTTAGACTGCAGACTTAGACCCTTTCTTCATATTCAATCAAAGTTTAGTTTCAAATGGTTTTTAGTAGTAATCAAAACACTCCCATAGTAAAGAGAAACAGGTTGTGCCTATAACTCAGTACAATCGCCCTCTTGATTGTACTAGCCTAGCTGCTGGACTCCACAGAGTCTGGATTTCTCCTTCACATTGCAAAGAGAACCCACGAGAGTGAATGGGCTGAGTGGACACCGAAGAGAGGCAGCACAAGCAACCATGAAGGTGAAATACAGTAGGTGCCTCTCCAGAAGTGGTCGGCATTGGTTAGTTACTGTTATTATTGTAAATTATGAACATCAGCAAAGAGTCAGCCCAGATCTTGTAGATCACAGGAATTGCTCCCAGACTACCATTTGGAAACTGCAGAATGACTAGGAAAATATTCTCCTAAGAGGCCTCGATTATGTCTGGAGAAGATTTTCATGTGCTTTAATAATCCCCAGAGTGCTTTTAAAAATATTGTCTCAGCCGGGCAGGGTGGCACAGGCCTGTAATCCCAGCACTTGGGAGGCTGAGGCAGGAGGATTGTTGTGAGTTTGAGGCCAGTCTGGGCTACAAAGTGAGCTCAAGGTCAGCCTGAATTGCATAGTGAGACCTTGTCTCAAAAAGACAAAAAAAAAAAAAAAAAAATATTGTCTCATGATGTCACATTTAGCTAAAGTAGTGAACTTTACCATCAACATTATAACTTTCCTACTTTTATTTACCAGGTTGTAAGGACTGACAGTGACAGTGCTGTTTTGGATAAGCTCTTCTCTAAGGCTAAATAATCACATTTGCAAAAACTGGATGTTCTTAAGGGTATGCGGTTATTGGCTGGAGGAGGGGAATAGGGAGTGGGGGGCTGGGTGAAAGGATGTAAAGGGGTGTGAAAACTAGGGTTAATCCAAGTCCTCAGATCTTCAGATTAAGCCATAATACAGTTGGAAAACCTGGGAAAGCAAAACAACCATCTTGGAGAAGTAACCCAAATACAGGACAAAAGTTCAGATTTCAGAAATAACAGTGAAGGATTTAAGGACGTACATGTAGAGAACATAAGACAACTAGGTTTGAAATCCATGCACAAAGTCAGACTGTTATAAACCACAAGTTAGTGGGTGTAATTCAAGAGTGGGACAGTTGACTGATGGAATAAAACTGCCTACAGTTTCCTAGGCTGGAGACATTTCCTGTCTTGGACGTCTGGATCTGTCTCACTGCCCAAAAAGCTCTACTTCAAAGTGTTGGTGGGTGCAGAAAGGCAAATGGGCTAAGTGTGTACATTCAGTTCTGGGTAGGAGAAGAGAGGCGGGGAGGGGCCCAGGAACCAAAACATGTTTAAGAGCACATAGGCCACCAGGAGATGACCGTCTTTATGCTGACCAGCGCCCAGGGTAGTGCTCACAGAGAAGGAAGCCCTGGGAGGGAAGAACTTAGGGAACAGGACCCAGGAATCTCTGAAGTTCTGTAGGTGTGGAGGTAAGTCACAGTAGTGTTGGCTGTCCCAGCAACAACACAGGAAGTTCCTTTCTTTTAAATTAAAAAAATGGGCTTTCTTTTCAACTTCAGAGAAGAGTTGCAATGGGGAACAGGTTTGCTATAATAATAAGGAAGTCCTGAGTGCTGTTTATCCAGATATATTATTTAAAATTATTTTTCCCAGTTTATTTTATCATTTTTGTCTTTCTTATCAGCATGCACTTGCTCACACACACACATATCTATATTATATATTGACAGTAGGCTACATACAGTGTGCTCAATATTTCAGTGTGCATTTTCTAGGAGCAAGGGTATTCTACTAATCAGACTATAATTTTAAAATTTAGTATATCAAACACTAATATAAAACTTTTACCTCCTCCACAGACTATATTCTAATTTTATCAGTTGTATCATTAATGTTCGTTATAGATTTTTTTTCCTTGTAGAGAAGCTCTGTGTTTGATAAGCGGGGGGGAGATTGGCTTAGCAGGGCAGAGATGCATGCTCATTGCCTATTCTGCCACCAGGATCTTTATTAGCAAGGAAATCCACAGGTCAATTGTTTGATTTTCTTTGATTTCAATCTTACTCCATTTATTTATGAACACAAATCTAATTAGCAGAAGTGTCTTGGTAATAAGAGGTGGGTGTCAGTCACTTCCCACCACTGGGACAAACACCTGACAACCACAAAGCAAGGGAGGGAGGTTTGTTTTGACTCATAGTTTCCTTGGGTTCACTCCGTGGCTGGCTCCAAGGCAGAACAGCATGGTGGAGGAAAGCTGCTCACTGTGTGGCCGTCAGGAAGCAGAGAGAGAGAGAGAGGGAGAGAGAGAGGGAGAGGGAGAGAGAGAGAGAGAGAGAGAGAGAGAGAGAGAGAGAGGGAGAGAGGCACTAAGCTCAGAACAGAGGTCCCTCGCTTTCACTTTCAGGGATGTGAATTGTGCCCGCTGCCCAGGACCTCCAACTGATAACCAGGACACCAACAGGGCATGTCTGTCAGTCAGGAGG